TTATACTATTTGCTAAAACCGAATTCTTCTCAAGGAAACCGACAACGGTCAATTTCATTGAGTCGAGGTATTTTGTCGATTGATGGCCGTTATTATATTTAAGAATTTATCTTATCGCGTGTTCACAAAACGAAGAAATCGTGGAGTCCACCGGACGTAACACATTTATAAAGTATATAACAGTTAAATAAAAAAAAGCTACTATACAGCAATCTAGTTGAAAAGATAAATTTGGAACCTGCTTTATTATATATTTTTGACAAATATTGCATATCGTTAAAAAATATTTTATAGAACGTACGTTTTTTCTTTGTTGCAGTCTGTGAAATCTTGCTTCTGTCTATAATTTGCGGTACAGTCATCATCTCCTTTAAATCGTCTACTTTTTTTTTTAAAGTTTGAACTTTTAGCGATTCTTCAATAGTAGCAGCCACTGTTACTGGATCAGCTGCACTGTCGGTGAATGCATAAAGTTGCTCTTCCAGCTTTTTAAGTTTCTTACATCCATCGGCATATGTTTCTGTAATTGTTCAGGGACAGTTATTGTAATATATAACCAAATGCGTTTAAATGTACTAAGAAGTGACAAATTAAAAAAGAAAAGAAATAAAATAAAAATAGATTACAATTCCTACGCTCTTTGTAAATAAAAGATTTTTCTATTTAATTAATTATATTTAAAAATAAGATTAAAATTACGACTGCATATAAACTAATTTTGTTGAACTTACTTGCTTGAGCTCTCACTTTAATACTGTAAAGGATCCAATCTTCTGGCGCATCAGCTAATTTTTTTGCTAATTCTGTAATTAATTGGAAATCTTCTTTTTCATAAGGTGGTGGCATAAACTTAACCATGAGTCTCGCTTTCTTTTCATCATATTCAATCCATTTTGATGGAACGAGGTCTATTTGTCTTTGTCCTGGCCGTCCCCGAGAAATAAATTCAACGACTACGAAGTCGTAATTTCCATGTCCGTCAGAACTCATCTTTAAATCAAAAGTTTATATAACATACACATTTGAAATCTATTATTCAATCTTGATAATTTGATTATCTTAAATACAGTTTCAAAATAAGAAAAAAACTCAAAGTTGTTTCAAAATGCAAAATAAATATTAGGTTATGCGCAAGTGTATAGTTCAAGCCTACATTAAACAAATACATGATGCTATATAACCTAGATATTTACTTTAAGCTACGGCTTGATGTTGAGAATATCTGAAACGTTTGATGTTCGATACTATTGAAGATCTTGTGTAAATTGTCCTTTTTCGGGATGTCCTAATTTGCACTACTAAACGAGTTCTATACTATATTATTCTATTCAGTAGTAGTATACCATGGTCCGCGCATAGCGGGCAAAGTGAGGAGCAGTACAGCGTATACTGTGCGATACAGCGTTATGGAGAGAGGGGGCGCTCTGTATGGCTGTGTGGATGGCGCGAAACGAACGAGTTTTCGTCCGATCTGTGATATTTTTTTTACTGAACAGAGTAGAAGCTTTGCACTGAACTGCGCCGAACTGCGCCACCGCGTATACCAATTAATTCGCTGGAACTATATGTGTCATTTTTTTTGTTTATTTATAAATTTTGATATGTTACTTCAAAAAAATAATAATAAAATATATACAGACAATTGTCTTTAAATTTAACAAAAATAAAATAAAATAAAATATATACAGACAATTGTCTTTAAATTTAAATGCCGTACTTTTGCGACATTTGTATAAATTTTAAATTTTTATTGATGTATAAGACTTAACGCAAAAGCTCTCTCCGGCTTCTGCGAATCAAATTTTAGACGTAAAAGCACGATTTTGCTTTCAATATTGTCCACTGGTACTGTTACTGAAAATACACTTGTTTCATTTTCTATTTCCCACATCTTCGTAATATTTGAATTTGAAGGATAAGAATAAACTGATTTTATTATTTTCACAATTTTGCCTTTTGCATTCAATATTTTTTCCTCAGATAAGAACATTTTTTCTAATTGAAGTATTCTTTCGTCGTCTAAACGTACCGTATTATTTGGAAACTTTGTTGATAAAATTGCTTCCTTGTATTTTACTTCGAGTATTTCTGAATCATTGTTTTTTTTAATTATTTTAAGTTTA